TTAAGGGGCAGGAAAAGAAGCAAGAGTTTCCAAATATAACTTTTCTTATAGTTTTGACTTAAACTATATAAATGTTTTATGTATACAAAATTATACATAAATCTTGTTTCAAACCAATTCTTAGAACTGAAAGCAAATAGAAATAAATAAATCTAACTGTACATCCAGGTATATATATTATATACTATATATATGTAATTATATATATAATTTCAAGGAGCTTTAGAATTTAGTACTTTTGGACATCTTTGGTGAGATATAGTCTTAAGGACGAAAAAACTTCAACATATCTTAAACTTAATTCAGTAATTATAAGTAATAATATTGGTATTGCTATTTTGAAATTTTTGAATATTATAAAGTAAAGCTAATTAATAAATACTACACTAATAATATTAAGAACCAAGATATTCAGTGAAAGAGAAAAAAGATAAAGGTAAAAGTCCTTTATTACATTTGAATTAGAAATAGCAGCTTGATCTCATGTTTTCATAGTTTTATTTTTAAATGATTCAAAGACTATGATAACTTAGGAAACTTAAAATATTAGTTATCTTATAGAATTTATGTCCCGTGATTGCATTATTTCATACAACATTTACTTTTTCTCCTCATTAATCAGCTCTGAAGGGATTTTGACTACATATAACCTGGGCTATGAATTATATTCTAACATCACCAATAATAGTAATAGTAAAAGCCGTACTTTTTATTTGAAAAGATATATTTTTTGATTTCTAAAACTTGTATTTTTTAGCAATGTTTATGACAAGATCCAGATACAATGATTCTCCAGCAATAGCATTCCTAACCTTCAGGTTTTGGTTTTAACATACCCCTTTTCATGGAAAGATACCAGTCTTTTGGAGACTAGATGATTCCAGGTCTGGAGTAGGGAAAATGCTTATGAATCTGGGACAGCTTGTTATGTCTGAAAGGAAGAAAGCATTCAAACACTATGGCTTCATGTCCAAAGAGTACAGAATCAATTGTGAAGGGTACCCAAGGGCCATATTTGAGACAATTTGAGAATCAAAAAGTAAATAGTCCTGGGCTAAAACACCCTGCATATTTAAAAAAATACCAAGTTGACATAAACAGAATACAAGGGACTTCTGGCTCTGGTGATAACAACTAGTATTAAACTTAATCACCAGCTGGAAACAACTACAATACCTGTATACTCGTCCTTCAGGTTACTTCCTGGCAGGGATCCTGTAGACTCAGAACCATGGGGCATACTATCCTCCTCACTAAATTGCTCAGCTAAGACCAAGTCCTTGCTGGACTGTTCAGGGTCCCAGACCTCATCCATTCCAACCCATGCCTGGTGCTATCTACCAGCTGCTCTTAGACTACCATTTAATAGTGAGACCAGCTTCTTTGTAGGTTTCATGAGTATGTCAACAGTATGTTGCTAACCCAACAGACAGTGGGTCCACCACTGCAGCAGCTGCTGTGGTAGCTCCTCCAGCCGTCAGTGTTCTTCTACAGTATAAATATGCTGTAGGAGTTGGTAGTCCTCCACAATGTCTTAATGTAAAGCTATAGGTTACCATGCAGCAGCCTACTGTTAATGTACAAGGTCAGGAGACTGACTACTTTCACGTTGGCATCTGCTCCTCCCCAAGTACAAAAACAAATTTGTGTGAATGACTCCTTCCTTTTATTCGAGCCATGCACCCTACTGTTGCTGGTCAAAATCACCCATGTGTTGTTGGAGACTGATAATTCAGAACCTCTTCACAGGCTTGAAGCTCCAGAGTCTCTCTGATTTGAGGTTGCTGAAGCGTTGGTGTACTACAAGCCCACCAAGCAAAAAAGGCTGCCCAGGAAGCAATTAGCAATGTCCTTGGAGCTCCAATTGTTTAAAATTGATTGCAGACCATGAAAGAAATTCATGCTTCACCAAAGAAAAATATCTAAACACTAAAAGCTTACATATTATGGGGAAAAATTGCTAAATATAAAATAGATGCAAAAGAGGAAAAGAAACTTTGAAGCTTATGTACAGAGCAAATGCCAGGTCTAGCAAGCATAATGCTGGATTACTTCCTGATTTAAACACACACACACACACACACACACACACACACACACACAACTAGTACTATAAAAACTTTTTTTAAAAGATTTTTTAAAAAATTTATTTGAGAGAGTGAGTGAGCATAGAGGGAGACTTTGACTCTCTGCTGAGCCGAGAGCCTGACACAGAGCTCAATCCCAGGACCCTGAGATCATGACCACCGCCGAGGGCAGATGCTTAACCAACTGAGCCACCCAGATGTCCCAAAACTAATGTTTTATAGATCCTGGGAAAAACAGTTTTCAGCAAAGTACAAAAATTTAAAGCATTCCTCTAATTTTATAAATCTTTACTGTGGAATATCTCAGCATGTCACTTAAGTAACAGAATTGAAAACTGAGCAAGGAAATGTAATTTGATTATGATTTAATAAAAATTCCTTAAATAGCGAAAAAATATTAGTGAGTAAACAAAGACATACTTGACAAATTTATAAGGAAAAATGTTCTTGTATTTGTTTAAATACTATGAACACTTGAATACTGTAAACATGGTTAACTGCTTGTAATTTTTTTTTTACTGTTTGTAATTTTAAAATGACATTAATGAAGGTAATTTTTTTTATGTTCAGTTAGCTAGCATACAGTATATCATTAGTTTTTGATGTAGTGTTCAACGATTCATTAGTTGTGTATAATACCCGGTGCTCATCACAACACGTGCCCTCCTTAATACCCATCACCCAGTTCCCCCATCCCCTGACGTCCTTCCCTTCTGTAACCCTGTTTGTTTCCCAGAGTCCAGAATCTCTCATGGTTTGTCTCTGTCTTTGATTTCTTCCCGTTCAGTTTTCCCTCCCTTCTCTGTGGTCCTCCACTATTTTGTTTCACATATGAGTGAAACCATATGAAAATTGTCTTTCTCTGCTTGACTTATTTCACTTAGCATAATCCCCTCCAGTTCCATCCGTGTCGATCGATGTAAATGGTGGGTAGTCATCTTTTCTGAAGGCTGAATGATATTCCATTGTATACATGAACCACATCTTTATCCATTCATCTGTTGAAGGACATCTTGGCTTCTTCCACAGTTTGGTTGTTGTGGACATTGCTGCTATGAACATTGGGGTGAAGGTGCCCCTAATGAAGGTAATTTTTTAAAAAGTTTTTATATAGAAAATTAAAAATTCAAAGTATTTGAATGCTTGCAACACTACTTTTTTAAAAGTAGAGTGTTTTGGTCTAATGAACATATAAATATTAAATTTAATACTTAAGAAAAAACTATAAATCACAATAAATGACACTTTTCCCCTTGATTAAAAAACATAGTTCCTCATTCTGAAAATGATTTATTATAACTTTATCTTTTATTAAGATCAATTTTCTATTTTAAAATCTAATTCTCTTGTAAATGTAAAATACTACCTTGTGAATGTAAATATTTTTTCTTTTACATATTAGTAAAAAATGATATGCCCTCATGATTTAAACATTAGTCAAAACACTGGGGCAGTTTAGAATTTTAAATTTTTAGAATTTTAGTGCTAGAATTAAAATAGTTGAAAATGAGGCATAGGATTGATGCTGAGTTATAAGAATGTAGAAGAAAATGCTTCTAGAACAGCAGCGATTTTATCTCCTCCCAGAGTTATCCAGGTGTGTGTGTGAACTTTTGACAGTTTTAGTGTTATATTTTGTGAAAGGTCCCAGTATATGACATATATCGTTTTGGTATAGTTTTTTTTTTTTTTTTAAAGATTTTTATTTATTTATTTATTTGACAGACAGAGATCACAAGTAGGCAGAGACAGGCAGAGAGAGAGGAGGAAGCAGGCTCCCCGCTGAGCAGAGAGCCTGATGCGGGGCTCGATCCCAAGACCCTGAGATCATGACCTGAGCCGAAGGCAGAGGCTTAACCCTCTGAGCCACCCAGGTGCCCCTTGGTATAGTTTTGGTTGCCTTAAATTATAGTTGCTTCACTTTGCAAATTTATGTGTAAATTTTACATTCTGTGCTATTTTAGTATTTTACTTGCATAGAAGAGGGAAGAGGAAACCAAGTAATGTTTAATTCCTGCATTTGGCTTTTGCCAAAGAAATCTGAATGACTTTAAGGAGCCATCCACTAAGGCTATTTGAGAAGATTTTACATGACCCTTCCAACTTTAAAATAATCTTGAAATAAACTGAAAATTGCATTTTGCTTGTGATTGGTTCTATATCAGCATAGCAGATTTAATCAGCTAGAATTGAAAGGAGATTCTGTATTACTGAAGAAAAGAAAAGCTCACATGGACAAGTCTATTAATCCTCATTTCTGCAGGCTGACTTTAACTCCTTATTTTATACTCACTGAAAAATCATGGTTTATTTCCATTTGTGATTTAATTTTATATCTATAAATAAATACTTCACATAATGTTTCATTTAAAAACTATTAAACTTGTCATTTTAAGGGTACTGCAGAAGTAAATAAGTCTAATTTTGGTTCTTTTATTTAATATACCATTCATTCAGATAGTCACAAAAAACAGAATTTGAAATCCATTTTGTTGACCCACTTATTCTTGGCATTTTTTTCCCCTTTTCTGGTGATCTTTTTAACTAAATTACTAAACAGATGATGAGTTCTACTTCTCCTGTATGGAGGTTTAGACTATCTTACCTTTCTGTCATTGGGTTAATTTAATTTTTTATTACACCAAGTTTGTAATGTGACAGCAGATTCAGCCTAATGGATTAAACTTTCCTAGAATATTTACAGATTTACTTTGTTCTTAAAATACATAAATACTATTGGGCATTCTATTTACATTGTTTTTATTAAATTAACCTTGGAGTAAAAAATCATAGGAAAGCTCTGTAATGAAATCACATATTTATTAAATCCTTGGTACTATGTACAATCTCCACATATTTGTATGTTTTAATTTTTCTCTCATGTAAGATAATTTATTAAAAGAAGAAGGCAGGTGATGGCAAATAAACTTTTTAATGAAGTTCCATCTTTGTCAGTTCCATACTGATGTTGTTTGGATCATGGCGTGTAAGTACTTTGGGCCCCAGTATGCCAATAATTAGAGCTCCATTCGGAGCTGTCATCAAGATGGCTAAAAATGCCACTGTCATCACATCCTTCGAATATGGTTCCAAGTGGGGTGCGCTGAATCTTGCTGTTTCTAGAGCCAGAGGACCTAATACAGCCTGCATTTAGGGGGTAAAAAGATGAGGCATAAAGAAAAATGTTAAATAGCTAATACATGACAAAAGTTAATGGCCCTGTTAAAACAAACAAAACCTAGTAGGAGGCCATCAGAAAAGAGACAAGCCTTAAAGTGCTGAGGAATTATCAGGAATTACTCATCAATTCTATGTTCTCCCTAGGAAATATATCTGGATGAAAGGTGAAATATTGATAAATCATCGTGCATGCATTTTGGGGCCGATTTTGTATTTTTATCATCTCAGCTTTCTCCTGTTTAAATATCTTTTTTGAGTGCTCACATTACTCTCAGAACCTCAGGAGTTCTAGCTAAAGCAGGATTTTGCTTATTTACCTTTACCACGGACTATAAAGTTCTTGGGTATAATAAGACAACACAAAATACTAGGGTTTCTTATGGTTCTCTAGGATTTTGTTGCTTATCTTCTTGTTCTTCCTACTTGGGAGGCCGTGTGTCCAGGAAAACTGGCAAGAGGTTTGGAATCTACAAAGTGGACAGGGGAGATTAGGAAGTAACTTGCCTAATGTTTTAGGCAAGTAACATGATATTCAAAACACTCAGGCTGGTCCCATCGACCTGCTTTTCCAACCATGACATAGTAAGAGTTTTGTTGTACAAGAACTCACAAATTTCTGTTTTGGAGTAACAGTGGAAAAAAGAAACTCCAGAAATCAAGACATTATGCTGCCATGTTAAAAAGTCTAACGATAAGTAGTAATACCTCTTTGTAGGAGCAGACTAACATTCAATCAGAGGGCAAAACTCTAAGATCTCCCCATTCATTCATTCATTCATTCATTCATCATTCATTATTCATTCTTGTAGGTATGCTGTGCTTACTAATTGTGTACCTCCTGCATGCCAGGCAGTATATTAAGTACTAGGGGAAAATTAATGAAAGAAAATACTGTTCCTGTCTTTCCCAGATAGTCTGGTGAGGAGATTTAGTCATTAATTAAAATCATGTAATTAAATGCATAATTAAAAATAATATATGTGCATTCATATATGCTGGAGTGGGTGACAAGGGTAGGAAAGATATATTTTTAAAAGAATCAATGTGTCTCGGAGCATCTGTGTGGCTCAGTCATTAAGCGTCTGCCTTCGGCTCAGGTCATGATCCCAGAGTCCTGGGATGAGCCCGGCATCGGGCTCACTGCTTGGTGGGCAGTCTGCTTCCCTTCCTCTCCCACTCCCTCTCCTTGTATTCCCTTTCTCACTGTCTCTCTCTCTCTGTCAAATAAATAGATAAAATCTTTAAAAAAAAAAATGAATGTATCTCCACTTTAAAGTCATTACATTTATCAGTGTAATATTCAGCAAAATGTAAACATTCCAGTATCCAGATATATTCTTATATTTTGGGAAAACAGAAAAAAAAATGTTTCAGAAGCTTAGGAAGTATTTGTCATTAAAGGTACACTTTTCAACTTCGGAAGAATTGCTTTTAAAACAGATTTTGAAAAAGATTACATTATTTTCAGTAAGTAGTTATGCTCAATCAAATATTTTAAAAGTAAGGATAATAATCTACATTTTGTGATTAAGGTAACATTTCACTTGGAATTTTAAAAAATCATTAACATTAAAAATTATTAACGTGACTTAATACGTTCTTACCTGGACCGTAGCTTTGGGCATCCACGATAAAGCAATAAATATTTTCTCCTTAAAATTGAAGCCAGCAAAACACATCAATACAAACGTAAAAGAAATTCGAATCAATAATGCCAAACTCATGGTAGCAACACAAATGCCTACAACAGATAAAAAAAAAACATAAACAATGAAATATTTGGAAAAAGTGGTTCTTTATGTCTAGAAAAAGTGTAAGAGATTATCTTATGGTGGAGGTACCATGAAAGATAAGATAGATTATATTTATTTAATTCTGAGCTAATAGACTTTGAACTTTCCCTACAAATGAAAGTATTCAAAAGCTGCTGATAGTATGTAATATTTTCGGTCAGTAAAGAATTTCAAACTGCATTTCCTCAGATCACTCAGGGAAGGTATTCAGAGCTGGCTTTGGTAACAAAGAGCATATGAGGTAACAAAAGAGCAAATGTATGTTATTAACTGTATCAACATGAGTTTCTGAAGAAGATTCTTATAGCATTCAAGACATATTGTAAACAAAATAAAAAAGTTATTCATGGTTTTCTTAAATATTTTCAAATCTCATATTTTTTGTGCCTGTAATTATTCTTACCAATAGCATTTGATTTAAGAGATGCAACAGAAACTTCTGATCCAACCAAACCAAAAAGAAGGGGTTGAAAAATATACCATGTAGTTTTAATAATTCTTTGGACTCTAATCTGTAGGAAAGAATAATGTATTTTAGTTATTGTGTTTAGTTATTGTGACACAAAAATAATTGCTTTTTAGAAATTAAAGTCTCTCAACATTTAATAAACTTAAGATATTTTATTTGTAGAAGAAATGTTAAAGCTTAAAAATTGAATAGGTTAATTCTTTTATTCAAACACTTGAGTAGAATTTGGTTAAAAAAAATCTACAAAGCTTATGGCAGAATTATTTACAATTGTCAAGACATGGAAGCAGCCCAACTGTCCGTTGATTGATGCATGGATAAAGAACATGTCGTATGTGTGTGTGTACACACACACACACACACACACACACACACACAGGAATAATATTCAACCATAAAAAAGAATGAAATCTTGTTATTTGCAACAACATAGACGGGGCCAGCGAGTATATGCTAAGTGACATGAATCAAAGAAGGGTAAATACCATATGATTTCACTCATGTGGAATTTAAGAAACAAATGAACAAAGAGGGAAAAAACAGAAAGAGAGAGAAAAACCAAAAAACAGGTTCTATTTTTTTTTAAGATTTTATTTGTTTATTTGAGACAGAGATCACAAGTAGGTGGGGAGGTAGGCAGAGAGAGAGAAGAGGAAGCAGGCTCCCTGCTGAGCAGAGAGCCCAATGTGGGGCTCGATCCCAGGGCCCTGGAATCATGACCTGAGCCGAAGGCAGAGGCTTTAACCCACTGAGCCACCCAGGCGCCCCTAGAAATAGGTTCTTAATTATGGAGAACAAACTGATGGTTACAAGAGGGGAGGTAGGTGGGGGGAAGGGTGAAACAGGTAAAGGGGATTAAGGAGTGCACTTGCTGTGATGATAACTGGATAGTGTATGGAAGTGTTGAAACACAGTATTGTACACCTGATACATATATAACAACTGCATGTTAACTTACTAGAATTAAAATAAAAACTTAAAAAAAGAAGTAAAATAAAAATAAATGGTCCTTGAAACCAGAAAAAAAATCTATAAAGCTATTCAATAAAAATATTATTTGGTAATTTTGTCAGTAAAGAAATAAGGTCTTCAGAGTTCCAGACATGTTTGAATGGTTCAATAACAATTCTAGCTTTTGTTTATAAGGTAAGTGAACAGAGACAGAACTAGAACTACATCATGCCTGATGAGCACATACTCAATATTATGCAACCATTTCAGCTCTCAAAAGGGAGTTGAGAAGACCTCCACTAATAATTGTCTTGGAAACCAATCCCATGAAAGTTAATCTTGAGATGTCCTAAGCTACGAGGCAAAAAATGTCAGTAATCTGTTAGGCCTGCTTCTGAAGAACCCATGTTGAAAACTTCAATTTTATTTTTTCCTTAAAACCAAACCAAAAACATAAATAGATTCTTAATTTGGTTGCCTGCCTGGCTCTCCTTTCTGAGAATGAACCTCTCCCAATGCTACTTCCCCGATTATGTGGTTACAACAAAGTCCCCAGTTGATGTAACAGTACTCTGGCTCTTCTCAAGGAATTTGGATGAAGAGATTTTAGTTTCAGTCTGGGCTTATCTTATCTTATTTTTTTATTTTATTTGTTTGACAGGCAGAGATCACAAGTAAGTGGAGAGGCAGGCAGAGAGAGGAGGAAGCAGGCTCCCCGCTGAGCAGAGAGCCTGATGGGGGCCTCGATCCCAGGACCCTGGGATCATGACCTGAGCCGAAGGCAGAGGCTTTAACCCACTGAGCCACCCAGGCGCCCCTGGGCTTATCTTTTTTTAAAGAGACATAAAACTGTGATATCCTTTGTTTGGGGTATAAACTACGTTTGTAACTATTTCCCTTATGACTGGGTTTTCTAATTTATAAAAGTAAAGTTAAAAAAATGGAAAAAAAACAAAGAAAAAACAATCTTACTCTTTCTTTATGGTGGCACATTATCCCATTTATTTCTTTTAATTTTTTAATAAAGACTTTATTCATTTTTGAGAGAGAGAGCCTGAGCTGGGAGGGGGGCAGTGGTGGATACAGAGAGAGAGGGAGAATAGACTCCCTCTCCCCACTGAGCAGGGCTGAAGACCCAGGGCTCCATTCCAGGATCCTGAGGTCATGACCTGAGCTGAAGGCAGACACTTAACTGACTGAGACACCCAGGTGTCTCAGGTGAAATTTAGTAGTTTTCATTTTATTTAATTGTAATTTATTATTGACCATTTAATTTTTTTACGATTGTGATTTTATTGGAATACTAAACAAAACACTAATACAATTTTTGGGTTGGGAAATTCTCAAGCTGATTTTAAAATTTATCTAAGAAAGCATTTGTGCAGGAAAAGTCAAGAAATACTTTAAAAATAAGTATAATGAGGGCGCCTGGGTGGCTCAGTGGGTTAAGCCTCTGCCTTCGACTCAGGTCATGATCTCGGAGTCCTGGGATCCAGTCCCACATCGGGCTCTGCTCTGCAGAGAGCCTGCTTCCTCCTCTCTCTCTCTGCCTGCCTCTCTGACTACTTGTGATCTCTCTGTCAAATAAATAAATAAATTCTTTAAAAAAAAAAAAAGAAAAATAAGTACAATGAGAGGGATCTTCCATATTAGATTTTGAGACATAAAATGACAGACTTAAAATAGAGTGATACTGGCACAGGACTAGATAGGTAGGATTAAATAGATTCCAGCAATGAATACATATATATGTATATATATATACATATATATATTTAGCTCATGTTAAAAGAGGCTCTTAAAATCACTGAATAAATAATGGATTAGTCAATAAATAATTTAGTAAAAAATGACTACCCAGTTTATATGCATATATATATTATATGTATGTGTATACATGTTTATGAACACACACACATATCCTTATCTCACAGCACTTACAAAAATAAATTCCAGATGAATTAAAGAACTAAATGCAAAAATAAAACAAAAACTACCAAAGTATTAGGTGATACTATAGAAAACATTATGGTTACAATCTTATAATCTTGGGTGATGATATCCTTCTTAAACAAGATACAGAATTCAAAACAAAAAAGAAAAATAGTTTTGACTACAGGTAATTTTACTTCAACACAAAAGACATCATAAACAAAGTTAAAAATAAGCAAAAATTATATGCAATATATACAAAACAAATGATTAGTAGCACTAATATATAGGGAAACTATAGAAACAAAAAGGCAAATCAACCAATTAAAAACCAGGCAAAGATGAATAGGTAGTTAAAAAAGAATGTATGAAGAGAAGGTTACTGCACTATTGATCAGAGAAATATAAATGAAGAATAATAATGTTGTATCATTTCTTACCCATCAGATTGCTTAAAATCTTTGAAGAGATAATTTTGCAGTACCTCTCAAAATAGAAACATTCCATTTCTAAATTCAGTAGTTACATATCTAGGAATCTGTTTTACAGAAGCACTTTTACATTAGCAAAAAGATACATGAACAGAATTGTTCACGGCTTCACATTAGTAATAACAAAAATGGAAAGGATCTAAATGTCTACAAATGGAGAACTGATTAAAGGAGATGATTGATTCTGGGAAGGGGGTCTGATATTTGGGAGTGGTAGGGGAAAAGGAGTCTTTTACATTTTGTTCTATATGTGGGCTTTTTGTATTGTCTTTTATGAGCATTTTCATGTATTAACTGTATAACTATAATTTTAATGAATAAAATAATTAAATCAATAAAAGTTCTATAATCACATTGCATAAAAGTTGAGAAAAAAGAAAGCAGCCTGATTGTTAACTCAACTTCTGATTGCATTTTAGTGTATTTCCAGATCCTTTTCCTAAATATCTTATTTCCTCGATTGATTTATACACATCCTTGAAGACACAAATTTCTGGAACATCTTCCAACTAGAACGAAGAGATTTCCTAAACATCTATTATAGATGTAAAAAAATGCGGTTATTTTATCTTAAAAAGTGATGTATTAAAAATAGTCACCTTTTCTGTGGACCAATTCATCCCTGCAACAAAAGTTAATGCTAGTGTGCACAATCCTCCAGCTGCATGTAAACCAATACGCTGGCTGCCCAAGACAGCAGTAAGAGACATACTCAAAATAAAGAAAGCTCTCTTCACTGGACGTCTTGTCTAGAATTAGATAGATATTTAGAAATTAATTTACATTTAATATATGAAACAATATTTATATCTTCTACCATCTATTATTCACCCTTTGGTATCATGTCTCTAGATGTTATATTAAATAGTGTCTAAAATTTTTACTTTCTTCCTCACTAAATATTTTAGCAGACCAAGTGAAAAAATCTGCAATTATTAAGTTTTATCTTCTGCCACATCTCTAATGTTAGTAAAATGACTATAGTACCTTAGCTATAAGTGAAGAAGGAAGGAAAGAGACCCATATAAACAAAGTAAACTGTATAAACTGTAGCTCCTCTAGCATATACATATACATATTGTAGTTCCTATAACATATCTAGTTAAAAAATAAAGTTTTGAATATCTCTTTAGCTGAGATAGCTGTTACAGATAAGATGGAAGTTACAGAAATACAAGAGTAATAGCATATCCTTTAGGGGAGGAAAGGGTTGAGTTTATTAGTGTTGCCTTAGTCAAAGGCAGTGGGAGTAAATTTAAGTCAGAAAATATGCAGAGATAAATGGCAATCTACTTTCCAAAAAATGTTCAGGGGAAAATTTGAGTGGCAAAAGATTAGGGAAAATTGCCAGTGGTCAGGAGGCAATTTAATGAATATAGGGCTGGGGTGGAATGGAGAAGGTACTCTGGGTTAAGTACAGTTTTCTTTTTTTTAATTTCTTATTTTTTTAAAGATTTTTAAAATTTATATATTTGACAGAGAGAGAGAGAGAGAGAGACAATGAGAGAAGGAACACAAGTCGGGGGGGGGGGGGGGGCAGTGGGAGAGGGAGAAGCAGACTCCCTAATGAGCAGGGAGCTGGATGCAGGGCTTGATCCCATCATGACAGGAGCCAAAGGCAGACACTTAACCGACTGAAACACCTAGGAGCCCTAAGTACATTTTCCGATACTCTTATTTGTTGAATCAGGAAGCAGAGACTTCAATCAAGGCCGTTGACCTGTATCAATCACAAATGTGCTCCATTTTAAGCAGAGAGTAGCATTAGGGGCTATTTTGGGGAAAGAGAATTAAATATTATATTTAAAAGCTCATGGATCCTCCAGAAATTCAAATTTTTGAAAGAAATGTCTAATACTATACTTCTAAAAAATAGATTAACTTTTCATTTACCTGATCTCCACTCGGAAAATACTGAACAAAAATTCCCAAAACAGCTCCTGCCAGCATGCCAATAAGTACATCCCGAAAAGAGGCAAGGACATTATTAAGTATAGTACCTGTAAGGGCACACAATAAGGGAAACATCTCACAGAGTAATATTTTCACATACCTAACATATCAGAAGATCAAGTCTAGGTGGTTCATAGAGAAAAGCATATATCTTCTAGAACACATATACAAAAATGGGCCTTTAATATTCATGTGCTTGAAAACATAAAGATCTATTTGATACATTATGTACCCTCAAATAATTTAATAAATACACACAAGTTAGAAATGTTCATTGAAAATGTAGGCCAGGAAACAAGGAAATAACAAGCCACAGTGTGCTCCCTTATAAATACAACTTTAAAGACCCACTGAGGTGGAAGAATGGACAGACACTGGACAAAGGAGCACCTCTGGCACCTTGCACATGTCTGGTAATATTTCCTTCTCTGATATCCTGTTATGACAAAGAACAAATGACTTAAACATACAAAGAAAAATCTAACAACAACAGAAAAAAAAAAGATTTACTACAGGGTCAACCCTAGGAATATTTGAGTCAGCAGTCAATTGAGTTTCCAACATATTTTTATGTACCTGTATCTGTAGTTCCGAGTAAAAAAAATTTTAAAAATCCTACGTCACACTGAAAAATTGTTATGCTATGGGTATTTTAGCTCAATGAGGTGTGCAAATATATATATTTTAGAAATGTTTTTCCATGAAAAAATAACAGAAATGCAGGATGACAATAGCAAGATGGTAGAATGGGAAGCCCCAGAACCTTGATCCCCCAAAGAGGCATTAACTTAACAACAATAGATACAGTCCAAAAGCCTTAAAAGAACTCCACAAACTAATTAAGAAGTTGCAGCAAGATAAAAATGACACATCATGTACAAGGAAGCTTCTATAAAATTACCAGAGGATTTCAGAGCAGAAACCTTACAGACCAGAAGGTGGTGTGATGGTAATTCAAAGTGTTGAAAGGAAAATAACTGTCAAAGGAAGAATACTATCCTACAAGATTATCTTTCAAAGTGAAGGAAAAATTAAGACTCAGATAAACAAAAAATGAAGGAGTTCATTACCACTGCACCTGCCTTACGAGAAACGTTAAAGGATATCCTTCAAGTAGAAGTAAAAAGATGTTAGCAACACAAAAGCACACAAATATAAATCTTTGGTAAATGTAAATACATAGATGAATTCAGAATCCTGTAATACTGTAATGGTGGTGAGTAAATCACTTTCAATTCTGTTACAGAATTTAAGCTAGAGACATAAAAATAACTATAAGATTGTATTAATAGAGATGCCTGGGTGGCTCAGTTTGTTAAGCGTCTGCCTTCGGCTCAGATTAAGATCCCAGCATCCTGGGATGGAGTCCACATTGGGCTCCTTGCTCAACAGGGAGTTTCCCTTTCCCTCAACCTGCCTTGTGCTCTCTCTCTCTGAAAAATAAATAAAATCTTAAAAAAAAAAAAAGACAGTATTTTAAAAAAATTTTTAAATTTTTTTATAAACATATAATGTATTATTAGCCCCAGGGGTACAGGTCTGTGAATCTCCAGGTTTACACACTTCACAGCACTCACCACAGCACATACCCTCCCGAATGTCCATAACCCCACCACCCTATTCCTACCCACCCCCCGCAACCCTCAGTTTGTTTTGTGAGATTAAGAGTCTCTTATGGTTTGTCTCCCTCCAGATCCCATCTTGTTTCATTTATTCTTTTCCTAAACCCCCCACGTTGCATCTCCATTTCCTCATATCAGGGAGATCCCCAGACTCCCCACGTTGCGTCTCCACTTTCTCATATCAGGGAGATCATATGATAGTTGTCTTTCTCCGATTGACTTATTTCGCTAAGCATAATACCCTCTAGTGCCATCCATGTTGTTGCAAATGGCAAGATTTCATTTCTAAAAATGACTGTATTAATAGATAGACAACATAAAAAGAAATAATTTGTGACCTGGATAACAAAGGAAAGAGGCGAGATGTAAAGGATTAGAATTTTTATATGTGAGTGAAAGTAAATTATCACTTCAAATTTTTATAACTATGGATGGAAAAAGAGAGTCCATGCAAATGATCACCAAAAGGCAGCAGGGTGGTCACACTTAAATCAGGCAACATAGAATTTAAGTCAAATACAAATAAGTCATAAGAGATAAAGAAGGACATCATACAATGATAAAAAGGCCAACTGATCCAGAAGATAGGATTAGGTCTCTGTATCTACCATATTCCAAAATATAGATGTACTGAAGATCTATGTAAAAAAATAAAACCTTAAAAGTTCTTAACATTTAAAAAAATTTATTTGAGAGAAAAAAATATTTATTTGAGAGAGAGAGAGCATGAGAAGGGGTAGGGGCAGAGGAGAAGCAGACTCTCTCTGCTGAGTAGTGAACAGAACCCTGGGATCATGACCTGAGTCAAATGCAGACCCTTAACTGCCTGAGCCATTCAAGTGCCCCCAAAGTCCTTAACATTTTAAGTGAAGCATACATAGTCACGAGTCAAGAGGATTATCTAAGCATGTAGCTGCTTTCGGTTTTTTACTTTTTCTGTCTTCCACAAATTAGGTTTGATCTTCTGTAGCATGTTCCATAGTACCCTACACTATGTACTATTCATCACATTTTGTAATTATTTGTTTAACACAAATTCCTTGAGAACATGAGCCATATGTTCTTCTCTGCTGGGTAACTAGTGTAGAATAGCATTTATAAATGTGGGTCTAGGGTCAGATTGCCAGATTGCATTTTGGCTTCCCTACTTTTTGGATCTGTGACTTTTAGCAAGTTATTTAACCCCTGTTCCTTAGTTTCCTATTCTGTAAAATGAATATCATACTGTGGGGTGACTATGAGATGAGTGGAAATAGCTATGGAACTTGGAGCAAGCACCAAGCGATTATAAAAGCTAGTATTGTAGATCACTGTTTACCCTCAGTGTTTGGCACAGTTGTTGACACAATGGAAGAGGAACATAAAAATATTTTTAAAAAGAATTATTGATACTAGTCATGAAGGAAAAGATTGTCAGATTAAAAATTTGAAAAATCTGAATTGCAAAAAAAGATAAAGTTAAAAGAAAAATTATAAATGTGGAAAACTATAGGACATAAAACAGAAGATTATCATTCCTAATTTTATGCTGAATCTTGACAAAAAGAACAAAAGATGAACAATGCCTATAAGATAAGCAAAAGATTTCAAGAAAAACAATTTATAAAACATTCCAGGATGCCAATAGTCAATAAATGTGAACATTTAAAAATATTACTAGTATTCAAAGTACTTTATTTAAAGAGGCCTCACCTTTCACCTATCAAATTAACAAAGATATAAGAGACTAGTGATACTGAGTTTTGAAGAAGGTGAAGAGAAACTGGCAAGTTTTTACACCCTGGTAGGCCATAACATTGTGATAATATATCTCGAAAAACTTAAAACTTTTTAAAAAAAATGTCTTGGGACACCTGGGTGGCTCAGTTGGTTAAGCCACTGCCTTTGACTCAGGTCATGATCCCAGGGTCCTGGGATCAAGTCCAACATCGGGCTCCTTGCTCAGCAGGGAGCCTATTTCTCTCTTTGCCTCTGCCTGCCGCTCTGCTTACTTGTGCTCTCTCTCTCTTGGACAAATAAATAAATAAATAAAATATTAAAAAAAAAATGTCTTTATTAATGTCATAATTATGTACATATACAATGTAAGAAAACCCACAAGCTCTTAAAACATAGAAGTAAGTTTAGTAAGGTCACAGGGTTAGGGTTAATATATGAAGACCAATCATTTTTTATATATATCGGCAATCAACAAACGGGAAGAAATTAAAATGACACCATGTACAATAGCATAGAAAGACCAAATAGAAATCAATGAGTTTAGTGAAAGAAGTGAAAGTTCTCTGCACAGTAATCTGCAAAATATTATTCAAAGAAATTTAAGAAGTTCCCAAAAAATGCCATGTTCTTAGATAAGAAGAATCAAAATTGTAAAGATGTAAATAGTTTCCAAATTCTCTCTACAAATTGTATACAATTCCAATAAAAATTCTAGTATTATTTTTGCTGGTGGATTTTGCTGGTGGCAAGTGATTCTAAAATGGACTTAGAAATACAAAGAAGTGTCAAGACAATCTTAAAGAATAATAACAAAGCTAGGAAATGCACAACTACTATAGATAACAAAAATTATCTATATACAGATAAAATATATCTATATTAAAAGATTATCTCACACTACTAAAGAGATCAACACTTACTATAAAACTGTAGTAACCAAAAGGCTGTGTTACTCCTTGCAAGGATAAACAACTAGACCAAATGAACAAATTATGGAGTCCAGAAATACATGTACATATATATGGTCACTTGACTTAAGACAATGTATCATTACTCTGTGGTGTGGAAAGAATTTTTTATTTTTAAAAATTAACATATAATGTATATTTTAATGTATATGATTCATCAGTGAATTCAATCAATTCATTCTGTGATTCATCAGTCTTACACATTCACAGCACTCACCATAGCACATACCCTCCCCAATGTCCATTACCCTGCCACCCCATAAAAACCTTATAACTTTTATATTTTTATCTCAACAATTCCACTTTGAGACTATGAAAATATTAAGGTTAGGTAAAACTATTTAGCCATAAGACGTTCAACCAAGCATTCTTTTAATGGTGAATATTGGAGTCAATTTCAATTTTCAACATGTTACATAACCATTAAAAATGTCATGGAAATATATTTACTGAAGAGAAACATGTTGGTGATATACAATTAAGTACAAAACAACTCAGGTTATGAGAAAGTATGATCAATTCTTACAATTTTATAAGAATATTGGGAGGAAGTCAGAAAGAATGGCTGGGGGAGGGGTGAGAAGAGAGAGGGAGAAGAAGAAATCTGGATTTATATCAAGAGTCAGTTATTAGGGGTGCCTGGGTGGCTCAGTGGTTTTAAAGCCTCTGCCTTCGGCTCAGGTCATGATCCCAGGGTCCTGGGATCGAGCCCCACATCAGGCTCTCTGCTTGGCAGGGAGCCTGCTTCCTCCTCTCTCTCTGCCTGCCTCTCTGCCTACTTGTGATCTCTGTCTGTCAAATAAATAAATAAAATCTTAAAAAAAAAAAAAGAGTCAGTTATTATTCCTGAGGGTATGTTGCCGGGCTTATTTTTATCTTTTCCTTTTTTTCCTTTTTATTTATGTCTTTTGATCTTAAGAGAAACTAGACATATTACTTTTCAACTTGAGAAATATTTTGGTGCTTCAATAATACAGAAGACAGAATTTCAAACATTGCAGATAATTAAAGCATTAAAAAACTTGGAAACATTTACTTTCACAATTTCTTGGGACATCCAAGACCAAATATTATCTTGGGATTCAGAATTGCTGCTGAGCTTGTCCCACCACTGCCAAAAAAGGCACACAGTTGTCCATACTCTATGTATTTAGGTTGTCTTAGTAATAGAGCAATCAGTTATTTATAATGATGGCCAAAAAGGCATATTTTAGAAATATATATCAAATAGCAGTACTAGTAATATTGCTACTTAAAATTTTCTATTGAACACTGTAATAAACTTCCAAAGAAACATGAACAAATAGGTAATAATATGGGTTATCAGATTTTTAAATTACAATATATGGTTATGAAAATAAAATAATGTGTGTTAAATAGTGGTTTCTTAATCCACTTTCTCTTCTCTGCTCTAGAATGAGCTTTTTGTGAAGAATAAAAAGATGTTACATGTAAAAATAACTGTTAATAAAGAAGCAAAGCCAGAAACCTTGTTTAAAGAACCAGAAAAACCTGATCTCAGGGTCCTGGTATCAAGTCCTGCATCGGGCTCTCTGCTAGGCAGGGAGCCTGCTTCCTCCTCTCTCTCTCTCTCTCTCTGCTTGCCTCTCTGCCTACTTGTGATCTCTCTCTGTCAAATAAATAAAATCTTTTAAGAAAGAAAGAAAGAAAGAAAAAGAACCAGAAAAAGCTGTGAATAAGATGGCAGTTGCTGTTTTTTGTTTACCTGAGGAGAAGACGATGCTCAAGCATGTATTGAATCCAGTAATTGCTATGATGTCATCTAAACTGCTAGCAGCCATTAGTAAGGTTGGGATGCCTTTCTTAATGCCATATCCATTTTCTTGCAAAAGGAGCATGGAAGGGACAACCACAGCAGGAGAGACAGCACCTACCACAAAACTACGAGAAAGATTTTGAAAACCAATTTTAAAACATTCTTTCAGCAAAGTAGTGTTTTATATTAAACTTTACAACAAATACATTAACCTTTACAGATTTACTATAACTTCAAAAGTAAAAATGCTGAGTCAATGTCATTTAATGGTGGTAAAATTTTCCACACATTTTTTACTGCTGGCTAAAAGTTTATAGAGATTTCATTCAAGATCTTGGTTTGGGCACAAACTGCCTCTCCCTTCATCCCTAAATCCTTTGAGATGAAGATATAAAAATAATATGAAAACCCATAACCTAACTAGAAAAAAAAAAAGGAGACACCTCAATGGATAAGAAACCAAGTATATCCCAGGAAGATAAGAGTTTAAGATTGAAGAAGGAAATCATAAATCAAGTGTGTGTGAGTAAACGTTGCTACAAAAAATATGGTATACTTCTAAAAATGCTCCAAATACAGAAATGGCAGATGCTGTGAGCAGAAGAAATCTGAGGAAATCCAACGGGTGACTATTTGGAGTACCACTGTAAGAATGGCCAGACAAATGTACTCTCCACCCCATTTCTAACTCTTGAACAAGTCAGTAAGAAACAGATATCTGTCCCAAAGAAGGAACAATGAGTGTAGGCACCAAAGTTGCAAAGACAACTGAGAAAATTCCTGGGATGGATGATGACAACCATGAGGAATGAGGACATTCCCACTCAGGATGTCCTTTGTTGGTGTATCTCATTCAGTACCTTACCTCATCTCTTCCACATTCACTTTATATAAGGTTGAAGTATATACCTTGTGTAGAGATGTTCTTGGTGCCAAACCAGAACACATTTAGCAGGCCAGTGCACATATCCCCCGCTTGTTGGCTGCTAACCTCTGACACCTGCAGCTTTCTAGCAATATTACCCTGCTGAGAAGAGCTTACTTGAGGTTGCTAAGGAGATTTTCCTCCTACTCCTCCTTCTTCCAGACAGCTCCTGTGAATTACTGACTGATATAGAGGGTCTGATAGTTTAGTACCTTTGCTTCTCTGGCTGTACGGTCTGTTATAGTTTTCTCTCAAAATTTCCCTGTGGACTCAAGAAGAGCCTAGAATTCTCTAAAAATACTTATTTGTCTAGTTCGATTGTTTCTGATCTTTACGGCACGTTGGAATCACCTCGTATATTATTTATCCGTAGATGCTTAACAAATTATTCCCAAATTTTGTAGCTTAAAACAACACGCACTTATTATCACACAATTTTTGTGGGTCAGGAATCTGGGTGTGACTTAGCTGTATGCCTCTGAATCAAGGTCTCTCACAAGTGGTAGAAGATCTGCTTTACTCACATGACTGTTGGCAGGCTTTCAGTATTTTGCTCTGGGGGTTTCTCAACGGGGCTACTCATAATATGGCAGCTGGCTTCTCCCAAGATAAGTAATCAAAGAAAATGCAAGAGAGAACATGCAAAATAGAAGCCATGGTCTTCTCATGGCATAGTATGTCTCATGACATTCTATAATTTCTGCTGTATTCTGTTCATTAGAAGCAAGTCAGTAAGTCCAGCGCATATTCAAGAAGAAGGTATTACACAAAGGTATAGATATCAGAAAGCAGGGATCGCTTGGAGTGATCTTAGAGGCTGACTACCTTGTACTTGGAGACCTTTCAAAATACTGATGTTCTGATTCCCATTCTAAGACATATTGATCTGACTTAAAATGGAATTTGACCTGAATACTAGGATTTTAAATAATTTTTTAAAAATTGTGGTAAGGAATACATAGTATAAAATTTATCCTCTTAACCATTTTTTTTTTTTTAAGATTTTTTATTTGACAGATCACAAGTAGGCAGAGAGGCAGGCAGAGAGAGAGGAGGAAGCAGGCTCCCTGCTGAGCAGAGAGCCCGACGTGGGGCTCGATCCCAGGACCCCGGGATCATGACCCGAGCCGAAAGCAGAGGCTTTAACCCACTGAGCCACCCAGGCGCCCCCTCTTAACCATTTTTAAGTGCACAGTTCAGTAGTGTTAACTATATTCACATTGTTGTATAACAGATCTCTAGAACTTTTTTGTCTTACAAAGCTAAAACTCTATATCCAACAAACAACCCCTCTTTCTCCCTCACCCAAGACCCTAGCAACATTCTACTTTCTATTACTATGATTTTGACCACTTTAGATATATCAGTGGAATCACACAGTATTTGTCCTGGCTTATTTATCCCAGCATAATGTCCTCAAGATTCATATATGTTGGAGAATATAACAGGATTCTTTCTTTTTTTCCCTTTCTTCCTTCCTTCCTTTTTTTTCTTTCTTATAGGTGAATAATATTCCATTCTATGTATATACCACATTTTCTTTATCCATTCATCTGTCAATGTGGGCTGCTTCCACTTCTTGGCCATTGCAAATAATGTTCCAATAAACATGGATGTGCATATATTTCTTTGAGATCTTCTGTTCTCAATGGGCCTCAGATATCCAAAGTGTTCCACTCTTTTTTCTGCTAGCATTCTGAGTCAGGTGAGACAGAAACCAGTCCCTTGGGTCAAAAAACCAAATTGTAGGACACATGCTCCAGCTTTTTTCTTTCCCTTCTGATAGAGAGGCCAGGAGTTGGGAGTTTTCTCCTGGTTACACCTTGCTGTGCAGGGAGGGGATGAGGTATAGTGGGTAAATGCAATGAACTGTTCTAACTGCTCCAATGTGTCTCTTGGCCTTGTACTTGGATGAGATGCTATAACTTCTCAAGTGGGTTCTGGAGTTCTCACAAAGGTAATCTGGTTCTTATATTTTTAAGTCAGTATTGTGCCAGAAGGAAAGCCTGGGGCTTCCTATTATGCCATCTTGCCGACATTATTCTTCTGATTGTTGGGATTTGCGAAAGCTCCCCAGGTGATTTTAATATATAGCAAAGTTTGGGAACCACTGATTTTTCTCCAGAATGTATCTAGCTTCCTTCACTCAGAGGTTTCTATGGAGACCTCCCGCAATACATTATTTGCATAAGAAGCTTAATCTCAGCCTGAGCTTCTAAGATACCTTGCTTGGTAACATGATTGGACTATTCCCTGTGAGAAGACAAAAGCCAGTAGCTAAAGTAATCACAAGTTAATGGGAATTAAAAGTATTGCAAAATATTTAGGGAAATCTACCACTTCAAGGTACATGTTCATTAAGGGGAAGGAATTTATACCGAGAAAAGAGATACAATAGGAAGAAAGCCACCAAAACGACTTCAGAATAACTATAAATATCCTCAGACTCATGAAAGTACACTACATCTATCCATAAAATTTTAATGATAGTTCCTAGAAATTAACAATGAATTCCCCAAATTAAAAAAAATATAAACATAGCTGAAGAGTGATTTAATAAGCTAGAAAACTGTGCAGAGAAAATTTTTCAGTGTGTACTGAACACACTGAAAGGTAAAACACATAGAAGGTAAAAAAGGTAAACACATAGAAAGTATAAGGAAAACTCAATAGGTATGGAGAAGAGAATTACAGAAGGACATAATAGAAGAAAACTATTACCTCGAAGGACATAATAGAAGAAAACTCTTACCTCAGAGAGGTAAAAGATATAATCAAGACCTGGAAAAAGATACACAATCCTCTGATTGAAACATTACACCAGATACCGAGTAGAACAAATTTTAAAAAGACTCGCCTAATGATATTAAGGAATTGTTGTTAATTTAGTAAGAAAAATGCTGTTCCTTTTAGAAATGCATCCTCTAGGGTATAGGGATGAAATGCCATCCTATGTGTAATTTACTTTAGGATTCATTAGGGACTATTAACTTTAAATTAAGGATATTTGGTGCTTGTTATTTTGTTATTATTCTCTCTACTATTGTACATGTTTGAAAATTTCCACTAAATAAAAAGACCTGAGGCTGCTCTAATCAAATTTTAATATAAAAATTATTTACACGAGAATCTCATTAAAATGCAGATTCTGTTTCAAAAAGTCTGGGATGGGGCCCAAGATTCTGCATTTCTAACTTTTAAGTGATACTAAAGTTGCTGTCCAAGGAACATACTTTGTATAGCATGAAATTTTTAATTGGAAAAATTTGGAAAACCCAGCTTCCAAAGATAGAGAGAGAGAAAAGATTGTATTATTCTACCTAGGAAAGGAATTAAAAATTAGTTTGATAAGAGATTCTTCATGGGCAAAACTAATGCAAAGAGATGACACTGATATCTTTAAAATATTGAGGGAAAAGAATTTTGAATCTAAAATTCAATACTGAGTCACAAAGTTATGTTCAGACACTCAAGGATGCAGTTTCTTATTCACTGATCAGTTTTAAAAGAACTAGAAGATCAACTTATCAGGAAGAATATTTAGTACAAAAGAAAGGAATTTAAAAAAAAATACAAGGGCAGAGGCAGCATAATGTAGATGTTAAGAATAAAGGCTCTAGCCATAGCCAAAATTTTTGATATATTTATTTAGTTGTCTGATGTTAGGAAAACCATGTAATATCTCTTTTCTCTGTTTATATGCAAAAAAGTGGTAATAATAATAGTATCAACTTTATAGGTCTTTGTGAGGATTAAATAAATTAATTATCAAGTACTTTACAAAGTACCTGACACATGGTAAGCACTATATAAATGTATGCTACTACTATAACTATTATGATTATCATCACAAGATATAATGATGAGCAGTGAAATTAATTGCTAAATCTATAGAAGTGTTCATTGTAAAGAAAACTTAAAAATAATTTTGGAGTAAAATTCTAGATTATATCAACTGGTGGGAGAATATAGGAGGGAGTGAAGGATAGTGAAAACATGTTATAAATTTAAGTATGTTTTTCCCAAAATTATAGGAAATTACTAGGAGAATGAATTTGTAATTTCTAAATATTAAAGGAATAAACAAAAGTGGAACAAGGAAAATACTGTTAATTCAACAAAAGGTAGGAAAAGTGAAAAAAGAATGAAATTCACATGAATCTATAATATTTTAAAAAGCGAAATAAGGTTAAGTCAAGG